TGATATGCTTCATCAAGCAACTCTTCAAAAATTTCAACAGTTCTCTCATCAAAAGTAGCCAAATTCATAACCTTGCTAGTCTTGTGCATCAACTTACTAAATATAAGAGTCTTCGACTCTTTCACATCACCTTTGCCCGATGAAATACGTTGACTATGCATGTTAATATCTTTGGCATTCTTTGTCCACCTTTTCAATATATACTTCTCTGGAATTCTACTATCATTGTTACTCACATTCAATATCCTCAATATATGACGGCAAAGTAAACCCAAAGTCTCAAACTTTTTGCAACTACAACTAATATCAAATTTGGAAACATTAAACAAAATAGTGTGTACCTTTGAAGAATTTTCCTTCTTCAATTTGAAGCAATCAGTCATGCCATCACGAACATGCTCAATTATCTTTTCTGTCACACCTTCGACAAACTCTGCTTGAAACACGGAAAACAATTTGCAAGTATATACCTCAGTTGCATGCATCATGATTCCACTAGGTATGCGCACTTGTGGTCTTCCATATATACCTCTAAAATCTTCACCATTTTCAGTTTCACGCATTTTTTCAGCATTTCTCTCATAATGCTTAAAGAATTCAATTAAAGTAAGGGTCTTACATGACATGCTTTGAAAGACATTATTAGCACTCTCACTTCTTTGGGTAGACTTCATATTCACAGAAAAATGTCATGACTGAACACAGGAGACCATTTTCTACGATTTTTATAAAGGCTTATAAGCCAGCTATTGCCCTGCAGACCCCACTCCTCAATCATTATTCTCCAATTATGCTCAAACTCCTCCTCAGTTTCATAGCCACTAAAGAAATTATAAAATTTCTTTTTGAATCCAGGCTTACCATAGAGATGTGGAATATTTGAGGCGGCATTTTTTTGTATGTGCCAAGTGCATAGCCGATGACATGTATCAGGGAAAACACGGCTAATAGCATTAGCCATTGTTGCATCTTGATCTGTGGAGATAATCTTTGGCTGCTTGTTGCCCATCAATGCCTTAAAAGTCTCAAATAACCAAACAAAAGAAGGAATAGTTTCATCAAGAAGAAATGCACAACCAAATGATATATTTTGCCAATGATGATTTATGCCAATAAATGGGGCACAAATCATATTATATGTGTTTGTCCGGAAAGTAGTATAAAAAACAACAACATCTCCAAAACAGTCATAATCAAACTTTGACATTGCATCTCTCCAAAATATATTAGTTAACCGATTTTGGTCATCCAATTGAGGTAAATAGAAAAACATAGGGTCGGCAGCTTGCTTATCCTTAAAATGGTTCAATAGAGCTTGAGCATCTCCAGCTTCAAATAAATTCATTCTTGTTCTATTCACATAGTTTTGAATATCTCTTTTAGTTGCTGGAACATTTTGATATCCACAGAATTCTAGAGCAAGAAATTCATGTGCTTTTATTGGCCCAATACCTGCGTCATGCAAGGAATCAACCACATCTTTTGTAGCATTTGAAAGTGATCTCCCCGACCTTAACAAATGCCTTTGCTCAGGTAAAGCAAATTCATGATTATGATCATCATTAAAACGTATAACTTCCCAAATACCATTTTCCACCTTAAATGTCATAAAAGCCTTACATCCAGTCCTAGTTTCAAGACGACTAACCTTTTTCTCTTCGAAAGAATCACAATCATGAAAACCTTGCTTCGAACAAACAAAATTTCTTCCACTCACCTCTTTAGTTCCACATTTATATCGGATTTTGTCACGCCGTACACTAAAACCTTTATGTAAAGCATATTCGTTGTAGAGATCATATGCTTCATTCTCACTATGCACCATCATCCCAAGTTTTAATTGTAGCCCACCATCAACACGACTCACTATAACTCCATGAATTTCTCGTTCATTATGGTTTTCATCATCAACAAGTGTAAGGTTCAAATCAATCACTGCAAAGAGATTAATATAGAAATATTCAAATTACATATCATTTCATTTATTTATTTAATTCACAAAATAGATTTTAGAAAGTCGAACAAGAAATTGAGAAAATATTTAATTGGAGAGCGGAATGCAAACAAAAGCGGAGGGCATTATGTTATCCATGTAGGCTGTAGCAATAAGACAAGGAAAACATACATAGTGATCAGCAAAGGCTTTCAAATTCTGGAGGCATTGTTTAAGGAGGAACATTCTATCGAGTATATGAGCCAAAAAATAACCAAAGTATAAGATGTAATACATTCAACACATTAATTTTCGTAATTTCGCAATGCTCCACAAAATAGAATGGACTATTCAAATACATCTCCACTCACCGAAAGAATTTGTGACATACATTCTTTAAATCATGTCTCTTTGATATGCCATAGAATGTCTAACACAAAGTAAAAGACGAATGAAAGTGGAAAGAAGAAATTATAGGCATTTATCAAGAGCACGGCATAAGTCATAACATATTATCCATAAAGTATATCCCATGTGGTTTAATTTCAAATAGCAAAGTACTGGAATTTTGGGGCTTCCGAAATTTTAATGAAAACTCCATGGGAAACAAAAATTAATACGCCTACCTTGGTTATGTTGAGAGTTTCGATCAACTTCTGAAGATGCCATTAGCCGGAACTGGAGGTTGTGCTCTGGTTAATTGGCGAAGCTGTATTATGAAGAAGCACCTAAACGAGCCGTCCAAACGTCGCAATCCGAAAAAGGGTAGAAGAACAGCGGCCTTCAAAACTAAATTTTTGGAAATTATTTTCCCGCTTCTTCCTTCATTGATGGCCATCGCAGGACCTCCTCTTCTGGCGGAGAATAACGGGAATCGTGGAAATTTGGGAGATAAATCTACAACTGATTTTTTTTATTTAATTTCACATAAATGCATAAGGCTGGAAAATTAAAGCTACATGTCATTATTTGATTGGTTGGGTGCACCAGCTCAACTGGATGACATGGTGCGGCTGGTGCACCCAATATTTTCTCGTAAAAAGATACATATGCCCAAAAGTCAATCCGTAACCGTTTTTTCAAATTCAAATTTTGAAAAAGAAATCTTATGATGGAAATCTTTATTATCAACACTTATCACTAATTGTAGAAATTAATCTATGTTATTATTTTTTTGGTGAATTAGACATGCATGATGGTTATTAATGGGAGATCGAGAGTTCAATTCTTGTTAGGACCATCCAATTTCATATTACTACACATTAAAATCGAAGAATTCTTTAGAAAAAAATTTATTGAAAGAAATTAATATTAAGAAAAAGAGACATATAAGAAATATTCAAGAGACAAAGACAACAAAATTACAGATAGAACATGAGAAAAATTTAGAGATATAGTTTGGCACAACAGAAGGTTAAAGATAAAGTTACGAAGAATATCTAGAGAAAAAAAATTTTAAAATAATGAGATGTAGTATAGAGTGAGAAAAAGGTAAAATGTGATGGAAAAAATTATATTAAGAAAGATTTAAGAAGAATTTTAAAATAAATAAAAAAAATTAGCAAGAGGTGAAAAGTGGAGCGACTGAAAATATAGAAAGTAATATATGAGACACAAAGAATATTGTTTAATAGATAGATCCATGAATCATTTATCATAAAATCTTTCACTGGGACTTAATAAATTATAAATTTTAATACAATAATATCTAAAATCCATCGCTCAATGCACGATCACAATACTAGTTTTTAGAATAGGAATTAGATCCTTTGTTACTCTCTCTCTAAATTATGGGCCTTCTATACGGGTGAAATCCATACTATATATTAAAGGAGAGTTTTCAATCGACACTTGTCATTCAATTAGATAGTTCAGAGTCTTCTTTGTCACATGTAAAGTTCAGAGTTTTTTTAACATGTGTTAACGCCAAAGACTCCCTTTTATTGAAGTGTTACTTCTTCTTTTTTTTTTTTTTGTAAATTTGGTTATTTTCAATTTACTTTTCACCCATGTATTTCACTCATTTTTATTACATTCCATATATATTTGATTATCTACTTAATTAATAATGAAAAATCTATCTTTTCTATTGCTAATTATTTTTAAATTTTTTTATTAGTTGCTAAAAATAATTTTTCACACATTTTAAACCAGAGTTCACTATGGTGGGATTTTTTAAAGAAAAATATATACTTTATTTCAATGGATAAAAAACCATCAAATATGCATAAAATGTAGTATTTTTCAAGGAAATCTAGCGAAAAAAAATATTACTAAAGAGATGTTGTATAAAACACTTATATATCTTTATATTTCTTTTTCTTTTGAGTTGGCTAAAACTTTCATTTTGAGTTTAATAAATCTATTTGTAAAAATTTACAAAATTACAGACCAGAAGTTATTATCAATTTTATCGACTATTACTTCTAAAATTTTACTACAAATAAATCATATTAATATTTTATCTTTCAAAATATAAGCTATCTTGAATATGAAACATAAAAAAAAGATAAATGTGATTTACACAACAAAACACGGATAAGAATTATTATATCACAAAATCCAACAAAAATATTATCATGTTACGCTGATAAGTCTTAGCTCACACGTGATCATAATTTTACAATTTTACACAATACATTTAACACAATTCGTGCAACGCACAAAGATAATTCTAGTTCATTACATTTGATAATTTACACGAAAACAGAAACAATGTACTTTGACATTCCTCCTAATATAAACTCATTATGATCCATGATATAATCAGTTCAATCACTTTATAATCATATAATGCATTGTTATACTCAAAACAAAAATATTATGTAAATTTCATCACATCCACACTTTTGCACGTTCAACCTCACTAGCGTCTTTGATTTTTGGACAAACAGAGTACAATTGATTTTTCACCGGTTTTTTGTGTCCATCACTCTTAATGAGTAGTAATATATGCAAGAAAAGTTTACGGGAATTTAAAAAGCAAATGATAAAGCTAAATTTTAATTATCTCCTGAATAAGGTAAGATTTAATTACCAACGACCATAATTGATTAATTGTATATTTTCTTTGTAAATTTTCATCCAACAATCATTACCCTTAATTAATCCTCTAAATGTTTCTATGTCAAAACAATTTGCTCAAATAGATTGCCTAAACAGCGTTTGGGGTTTAACTCATGCAAAGAAGGGGCAATCTAACTGTAATCAAACTGCGAAAACAAGAATTGGTCGATCACCAATACCACTAAAAGGATTGTAAGTTAGAAGTTTACGTAAGTTTTACTTATATTTGAAACAACAGACTTCTCAATGATGAATATAATCATGACAACTGCATCTTTGAGAGAAAGCTAAATGATCTCTACATTAATCTACCTGCACAACCCATTTCAATTTAGATGCGGGACTACGCCGACAGCTTCATTCCCTTTCAATGATAACTCGCTGAGAAGCTTGGGCTGTAGTTTTAGTTGATTGCTCAGAAGCTTGAGCTGTAGTTTTAGTTGATTGCTCAGAAGCTGTGGCAAGACCCTGCATCATTCTCAATATCTCAGCGGTATCCTCCAAGTAATACTTGGCTCTACTTGGTTTCTGGCCAACTGTACAAGCAAACACTTCAGCAACTGGAGAGAGGGATGCGTTGGAAGCTGCAGTCATTATCACTTCAAACATATCCTCGTCTGATCGATCATCTCCAATACAAAGAACAAAATCTGGAAGTATTTCCTTTCGCTGCATTGTCTCCAGAAGGCGGTCGGCTATTAGGCCCTTGTTAACACCCTGAATGAAGAGAAGATGATGAGATGAAGTTTACGAAAACAAGGGAAGGGAAGCAGAAAGAAACAAAGAATTGTCGTTCATGGAGAACCACAATCATCAGCTGCTGCTGATAGATAAGGGGAAATATTTACTACACCAGCATCATGTCTCAGGCCCTTGGCTAATAAAGAATCATAAATTGAATGCCCACATGGAGCCCTAATAGGATTGTACTGAGCATCTTCTTTTACATACCAGAATACCATAAACTTCATTAATACTATATCAAGCGAGAACAAGAGTTGCTTTAAAGTACTTCCACTTTTAAGTATGTCACAGAACTTTAGTTTCCATTCTACAAGCTGCAAACATGCATACTTGGAAGATTAGAATGTTAGTTGATGACAGTCCTATAAAGGAAAGCAATAAAGGATCTGGCTAACCTGAGGTTTAACTTCCACAATGTGCTGGCCACTCTTGACGGAAACTGGTTCATTAGCAAGAACGCTTTCAAGGTGATCTAAAAGCTCCTTAGCTTGACATGAACCAAAATCAGGATCAGCATACTGGTAGTTCCAGACTAAAGCACTTTCCTTCGGGTCTATGAACGAACCATCAGTTGTTTCTGTGTAGAGTTGCATTACAGGTTCAGCAATCTGCTTCCAGTAAAAATCTGGCACGGGAATACAATTGTCCCATGCTGCATTCTTATTAGGTCTGAAAAGGAACAACAGTCATTCAGTTCAAATTAACAGTGCAGAAATTTTATGCAAACCTATGAAACATCCATCAACCAACATAGGGGAAAAAAAAATGAGGCTAGCAGCAAGTATGAAACATCCATAAACCAATATAGGAACAAAAAAAATGAGGCTAACAGAACTTCTGCTGCACCAGAAGCAGTCCCAAAACATTTTTCCATTTGAAAGGTTGGCAGAAAGGAAGAAGAAAAGGAAGGGAAGCCCATAATAAGACTCAGATTTTCGGTGTTACATTTATAATCTAATAAGTTAGGCAAACCTGATAGATCACACTTTGAAGAGTATATATATTTTATGTCTTGCACGATAATTTATGGCAAAGGCTCTTTTATAGAGAGCTCGCATTTCCATTCCTTGTTTGTGTTCACATTACTGAATGTCATTCTTGTTAAGTGATTGGTATACAATTTCAGGGCCTAGAAAGCCTAAAAAAGAATGTGAATCCAGATTCAAACAGAAGATCTATGATTGAAATTAGGTTTAAAGACGGATTAAAGGCAAGTCTGAGAGCCTTTAGCTTTACGATACTCTAATGAACTTCTTGTTCCAGTCGGAAAATGTTAGTGTCCGATCAAGAAAAGTACTCCTCATTTAAAATAGATATAGAGTTTACATTCCACCGAAACTAGACAAATGATGAAAGATAACATATTCAGCCATGGTCTGCAGTAAATTCACCATTGAACTTGAAATATACAGAAAAATGCAAAAGAGATGCATGGGCATGCAAGATGTGAATTAGCAACACGAGCAAGCAAATAAATATGGAGTCTGCAAAGGCCATCTTTTCCAAAATTTCACGTAAATACCTGAAAAAGTAACCATGTTCTGCCGCGATCCCTAATGTTTCACAAGCTGAAAACCACTGCGTAAGCGTCTTCCTATCCTTCCCACTCACAACAAAAACAACATTCTTGGGATCTCTACACAGGTTCTTTAAGATTTCAATATTCTCTGCCCTGGGGCTTGTACAGATTGGACTGTTAACTGTCATAGTACCATCATAATCCAAAAGAATAGCACGGTTTTTTGTTCTCTTATAAGCAGACACAATATGTTCAACTGACAGCTTCCTGAAACTTGGATCCAAGGCAATAACTCGGAAACCTAAACCAAAACCGATGCCCCAACACCTCCTCCTGACATGATCCCTACAAGCTCTCTCGAGATCTTGCAAGAAGCTACGAGCCCAGTATGCAACATCATGAGTACTTACATACTTATAATGCTTCTCATGGCGCATTTGCTTCTCTGCTTCAGAAACAATTAAAGCAGAATCCATAGCCTCAGCAACAGAGTCAATGTTCCATGGATTAACCCTGATTGCACCACTAAGAGATGGAGAGCATCCAATGAACTCAGAGACAACCAGCATGCTTTTCTTTGGTGTTGAAGGATTCAGGCCCAATGTTTTGTCTAACTTACTATTCCCTTGTCGAGATATGATATACTCATATGGAATCAGATTCATCCCATCCCTAACTGCAGTAACCAGGCAGCATTCAGCAGATACATAATAAGCAATCCGCTCATAAAATTGGAGTGGTGTATCAATCAAAACCACAGGCTTATATCCTGGTCGTCCAAAGATCTGATTGATCCTCTTCACTGTAGCATAAGTTTCAGTCTGGACTTCCAGTACATCTTTCCCTCGGCCCCTAGCAGGGTTCGCAATTTGAACCAAAACAACCTTACCTCTCTTTTCAGGATGTTGAGTGAGCAATTGCTCAAAGGCCAGCAGTTTCAGGCTTATTCCTTTGAAAATGTCCATGTCATCAACCCCAAGCAGAAGAGTCTGACCCTGGAATTGATCACGTAATTCTGCAACCTTGGCTTCAAGCTCAGGAAGGTCGAGGACAGATTGAAGTTGGTGCATGTGTATTCCAACAGGCAGAATCTTAATGCTAACCGTGCGACCATAGTATTCCAACCCAATATGACCTCGTTTAGATTGGTAGGAGATCCCGAGCATTCTACTACAGCAAGAAAGGAAATGTCTCGCATAATCAAATGTATGGAAGCCAATAAGGTCGGAGTTCAAGAGTGCTCGAAGAAGATCATCCCTTACAGGTAAAGTTCGATAGATTTCCGATGATGGAAACGGACTATGGAGGAAAAATCCAAGTTTCACCCTGTTGAATCTCTTCCTGAGAAATGTCGGTAACACCATCAAGTGGTAGTCATGAACCCAGACAAAATCATCATCAGGACTGATCACTTCCATAACTTTGTCCGCAAATATCTTGTTGACAGACACATAAGCTTGCCACAGGGAACGATCAAACCTGCCACCAAGATCAGGGGATAGAGGAAGCATGTAATGAAATAAAGGCCATAAGTGCTGTTTGCAGAATCCATGATAGAATTTACTGAAAAGTTCAGGAGGAATAAAAGCAGGAACGCATTTAAAGGTTTCGAGGAGAGTTTGAGCTACATCGTCTTGTTCACTTGGATCTATCGCTTCTTTGAGGCTGCCAACATATAAAACTTCAACATCTTCCCTGAGGCCATTCTTAAGTTGCAAAAGAAGGGAGTCCTCATCCCAACTAAAGTTCCATCCTCCTTCACCATCTGTTCTTCGATGTGCTCGAATGGGAAGCTGGTTTCCGACAATGATCATTCTTTCCTCGGAAACAGAAGACTGAGCATCAGAGCTCACATTGCTCCTACTTTCATCCTCTAACTCAAACAATTTTCCTGGTGTAGTTGCAACTCGAGAGAGCTTCTTCCCAGATCCTCGGACCAATTTCGGCAAATCACCAGAAGTTAAATCCAACAAGTTTGAATAAGATCTCGATCCCATAGGTATGGACAAATTAACCTGCCAAAAGAATGCACCTCAACAATTATAATACCTCAATGGAACCTTGTTTAATCATAGCGTGAAACTGCAACTAATTGAAAACTCCAAAGTGCTATTGATGAAAATCAACAAAGGGGCAACGAAAATAAGGCAACAAATAGAAACTCCATAGAGGTAGCAGTACACCCATACCAAAGTTGGCAGCTAAATTTTCATATGACATTATTTAATTCCCAATTAGTTTGTAATTTTAATCCAGATCACAGCTTGAGACCCTTTCCCAAAACAAATTGAAACAGTTAGAAAAGAGATTGCTGAATCACAGAAGAAGCAGAACCTAAATTATGGATAGTACAGTAAAGTAATAAGGCCAGGCTTTGAAAAGGACATATTCCAAGAAACTGAGCCACCACATTAGCAACAAGCAAGCTAGCAAATTAAGACACCAGACAACAGAGGATACAAATTCAAGCAAAATAAGGGAGCAGAGACTTAACAAGGTCAAGTTTTCATTAATAAACAGAGAGAGATCTCAATGAATGGAGGAAGAATTAACCATACGAACAAGAATTTCAGAAGAGCAAAAAACTGGAAACAAAGTAAATGTCACAGTAATCAACTAAATAAGTAATTTATACCTAAAGAGGTGATACAGAAAACTCAACCCAGAGAACCCAACAATGTTCAGGTTCTCAGAATACCAACTATATTGAGCTAAGCAAAGCAACCCCCAAAACACTAAAAGGCGTCTAAAACTTAAAACCCATCCTCCTCCACCAGTAAAAAGAGTCAACTTTGAAAGCAAAACCCCTCATGCAACAAATATCAAAGTTGAATCCCGTATTTGAAGTAGTGGAAAAGTACTATTTCAAGTGGTTCTCAAAAGTAGGAATCATCAAAAAACCATGAAATGAAAGCCCCAAAAAAAAAAAAACAAAAAAAGCAAGTAAAGAACGGAACCAATTTTTTTTCCTTTTTCCAACTTGTCTTAATTAGTACGTACTGAGCTGCAGTGGAGCACGAGCTGAGAAAACAAGAAAAGACTAACCTTTTAGCAAAGGGCAGTAAAAAAAAAAAGAACCTGGATATGTATGGGTTGAGGAGAAAGATCAAAAAGATTCCCACTACAAATATCTAATCAAAAATTTGATTCTTCCCCTCTGATCAACAGAGGGTCAGAGGGGTTTATCAAGAACCCTCTTTTTTTTTTTTTTTTGCCTTTATGCTCTTAATAAGTTTCAGCAAATGCCCATTTCCATTTGCCCTGAATCAAGAATCTTTCTCTTTTGCCTAAACTTAAAATAAAACGCAGTGGAGGTGTGGTGTGTGTTGAGAGTGAGCTGCAACCTCCTCAAAAGGCTTCGAGTTTCTCAGTAGTAAACCGCTTACTGTGGTAGCTTTAATTAACTCCAGTTAATACTATAATCAGCATTGCCTGAAACAAAGTGAACCTTAAACAAAAAACAACAGGCTTGAGTGATGATGACCGATCCCATCATTGATCCACGCGAGAATCTAGCGCGTGTTTAAAACGCTAGAATCATTGGTTTCAACGACGGGGCGGTCCGCCGGTCCGTAACCGTTCGAAAGGAAAAACAACAATATTTTTAATTCTGTACTGTAGGGACCCCGAGAGTGACACCTGGGGTGGTGAAATGATAGCGTCCTCCACGCGCCAAGTGGTCCGAGAGTGGGGACGCATTGCTCACCTCGGCATGCCCGCTTTGGAAAAACCATTTCTTTCTAAGGACAGTGACTTTGTTGTGAATTTCTGAGACCCAATCAGAAAATGATGGATTACCACATAATTCCATCATTACTGTATATTTTGCCGCTTGTATTTTCTTCCATCGTTTTATTTTCGTTTTCGTTTTGTAAAATATATTATCTGTCTCAGAAAAATAAATTTATATTGAATTTTGAGTTTTATAATAAAAATAGAAACAAAGACCTAAACAGGTTAAAAATGAATGGTTTGTCTCTATATTTGAATTTAGACGTAAAATTTGTACTTAAAATTGTCGTCCATACATGCTTTATGCTTTCTTCTTTTGTAAATTCCTCTTCTTATTCTGTAAGAATGTAATTTTGTCGATGAAAATGAAACAATTTGTAAAATTAATTAGAACAAATTTTAATTGTTTCCAAAAGAAAAAAGAAATACATGTGATATGCACAATAGAATTTAATTTTTGATGAAAACGAAACAAATTTTAAAATTAATCACTACAAAGTTTATTATTTTTCTAAATAAAAGAAATGCCAAAGATATACACACTAGACAGCTTTGAGTTCTCCTTAAAATGGTTGAAAGCTACTTTTTTTTTTTTGAAAATGCCTATTTCAAAATAAAGGTCATATTTATTTGTTAAAATATAACATGAAATCCGACTCAATTTTTCCTGAAAATAAAAATCTAAATAATTGCATGATCAAACCTATTGGCATGCCTTTATTTGTCTTGTTCTCATTCAAAAAAAAAAAGAAAAAAGAACCATCTACAAATTCAGAAAACTTGACTCAATCGTTCTACTAAAAATTATATAATCAAATCAGTTGGCGAACTCAAGTATCCCAGTCGTGAAACATGGCAACTACGATCATCAAAGATATTCAAATCCGACGAAATCTGATTTGCAATACCAGATTGCTATAGTAAACTAAAGTAATTTTCATGAGGTCAACTAAGTATTAAACTAAAACTTAGTGGCATTTCATTTTTCCCCTGGTTGAAACAAAAACACGACATTTCATTGTTCTTCGTTTTTTCATTACAAATAACGTGATTAAAACACCACCAAAGATTTTTAAAAAATAAAATAAAATTTTGAGTGAAACGTTAAGAAAGACAAACGGTAATTAACGACAAATATTGCGGACTATCAAGTAGGTTAACCATCGTTTTAGTTTTAAAGTTTTTATGCTTCATATGTCATAAAATTATCGTCCAGTTCACAGTTTCATTTTTAATTTAATTTTTACTAATAATGAAAGTTCAAATCGGACAATAATTTTGGGACGAAAAGAAGGAGTAAATACGCAAAGGAACCAACGTTCAAGTGCGGCAGAACACAAAAGTTGTGAATCGATCCCTCCTTCATAGAAGTTTTGACTTGAACATTATAAACGGTTAAAGGAGTTGTTGATTTATGTTTGCATTTATTGAATATTTAACTATTTCACTGGGTTTGTTGTTTGGGCATTTAATGGTATCTGATTAAAATGATTAAGTTAATATCAGGTGAATCAGTGGAAGTTATAGTCAAACCAATGGAGATATTAAACCAAATAACAATATTTGGAATTTTAATCCCTTCAATAGTGTTTCAATCCATTCCATTAATATTCAATCAAAACCCATTTCCAAACCACGGAACAAACAGCTCCTAAATGATTTAAATAAAGAATGGAAAACTTCAGGTTTTCTTTTTTTTAAAAAAAACAAATTCCAATTCCAAAATAAAAAATAATATTTTTTTTACACTATTTTATTTAGTCGAGATGTGTAAAAAAAGAATAAGAAACGTTGGTAGTGTTAAGGATCAAAATTCGTTTTGCTATGCACTTCATACAAGTATACATAGACGTGGAGAATTTTCCACTTTCTAATATGGAAGAACTGTAGACTTCTGTTTGATTTAATAATGCATTATTGCAACTGCAAGTTGTTAAAATACTTTGCTTCAAGACACAATAGGCAAAAATTAACTTCTTTGGGATTGACAAGATGTATCATCTAATCCAACTGATTAAATTTGGTTTGGAAAAATGTGCATTTTCGAACAGGCAAACAAGCAATATTAAGGATGATTAGTTGGTGCTAATTATTTATTACTACTATTAAAGAAAACCAAAGCTTCATAGCAAAGATATTTCTTAAAGTGTATGATTATATTCTGGAAAATATCTCTTTTGCCCACTACATGTGTGGGTTGATTGGATCATTTTATGCATATTTATTGAAGAAGCACCTTGAAAGAATCTTCCAATTTCATACCAACAACCAACCTGTCCAAGTTATTTATTTTCTGGTACTCCTTCCGTTCCATAATTATTGTCCAGTTTGAATTTTTATTTTTAGTTCAAATTGTATTAAAAGTGAAACCTTAAACTGGACAATAATTTTGGGACGGAGGGAGTATTTTTTTATTACTACCATTAGTGCGTGAAACGAGTGTTTCTACTAATCTAGATCAATTTTAAATTTATTATTGGTTGTTCATTCCTTGCTTGGCAACAAAAATATTTCAAGCATTTGGAGGAAACTGAGAAAAAAAAGAAGAAGAAAAAATTGGTTATATTTGAATAGTTTCTTGTGTGTGTAAAAGCTGTAATGTCCGCAAAAAAGTTGCCTTCAAGATGTAAGAAACTGTGGTGGCGTTACCCAAAATAATAATAATAATAATAACAGTAAAATTTAAGAAACTGTTCAAGTTAAAATTGTTTAAGTTGCTTATGGTTAGGTTTATGAATTGCTCGTTTGAAGCTTTTTCCTTCATGATTAAAAAAGGAACACAAAGGGGTAAAATCCCCTTTTAAAGACACAAGTAGTCTCTTCGAGGAATAGAAAATATAGAATTCTTAAAGAGGAGTATAAACTCTGAAACTACTGTTGCGAATATGAATTTATCTATCTACATTCTACAGGGCACAGTTAACGCCAAGTTTGCAAGGGTAGGGTTTTAAGCAATATGTACCATAACAGAGATGTCATGCCACGGTAAAGCTGTCAAAGCTGAAACCATTCGGTAGATTAAAAAGTTCATTTGATGCAGATATGTACAACTGGAAGATGCCTAAACATGGTTTACACGAGTACAAGGTCTAACAGCACAAGTAGCTGATTCATGACGCTATTCGCTCTTGCTCCTTAACAAGGTAGGAGTAATACTTATGGCCCCAATTAGAAATAATGTCGCTATAGATTGAAAATCGTAGAGATCACCCAGCGATTTCAGATCACCTAGAGCTATTCCAGCCTGCAAAAAAGGCACCAACCAGATAATGTAATCTCTGCAGATGATAAACAATCTGAAACGGAGATCAAATTGGACTTAGAAATATTTAATCCAATTTCTCAGGTAGGTTTGAAGCCAGAGCAGCCCAATGCCTGTTAACGATCAGTAGACTTCGGGTAAAGGTGTTCGCAAATGTGACCGATGGAAGCACAAATGCACAATCCACATAGCATCATTACAGAAAGACCCTGAAAATGACTAGTTTCAAAAGTACATACCCTGACTGTGACATATGCAGCTGGAATGATCCCAATGGCAGTTGCTAAGAAGAAGATATGGTAAGGTATATCCACAATTGGTGAAGCAACATTTATGAATGTATTTGGCAATGTTGGTGTTACTCTTAAGAACAGCATGTAGTTAAGCAGCCGGTTTTTCCTTTTAGCCACCTGAGAACACAATAGTCCATCATCTTTAGTTCAGTTGAGGAATAAAAGATGATACCAGCTTCATAGAAACAACACAACAACTAAGCTTATATCCCAGCATGTGGAATCATTGACGCGGCCCTAACAAACAAAAGAATAAATCTTATAACTAGAATGGTATTCACCTCTGCCTGGAAAAATGTCAATTTATCAGGCCATAGAGAGAAGACAAGAGGCCGTCCAATCAATTTTGAAAGGAAATAGCAAGAAGATGCACCAGCAGTAGCAGTGAAGACAACAAGAGCAACACCTCTGAAGACCCCAAAAAGAGCCCCAGCAAGCAATGACATAAAAACGGTTCCTGGAATCATAAAAGTCTGCATGAAAATATAGACCACACAGTAGCCAATGAGAACTTGCGCAGTGTAGTCACTAGTATAGCTCTCCAAGTTATCCCTACAAGAACAAGAAAGAAAACTGATCAAATTCCCTGTAATTGGATTAAGATTCATCAAGAGAATAAGAATGGCAAGAAAATATCAAAAAGCCATAATAAGAATCCCAAAAGCACACACTGCCATGTTCCATTTTCTGGTAAAAGTATATATGAGCATCCAACAGAAGCTCGGACTAGGATTGTTCCATATTGATCCGGTTGAAGCGATCCAATCTATTTTGAAAGTTTTGACAAGACAAACGTAAACCTTTTTGAAACTTGATGCAGGAAATAATCAAACCACAAACTGGCCAAACCAATACCAATTCGATCGGCTCTGGTGCAATCAGTTATTAGAGGTTTTAAAGTTTCAGAATCCCCATAATTAGTCTAAATCACATGCTAGGAGCAACTTAAACCTGCATTGGCATTTTTCCTAAGCTAACTGAAGAGTTGGACAAAGATATTCTTTTGAGCCACTTTATCTAGCAAAAGGCTAGGCACTGTCCAGATGCTCAAGAACTATTTGTAATGTAGACTGGCAAATATTAAGTTAAAAAGCTCCCTTACTACAGCTTTATCCCCCCTTGCTTTATAGCTCACTGGCTTGATGAAACGAATAACGAAGGCGAGGTATAGTTTTAACATATGCTACTTCTTCAGAAGAAATGGTGAAGTAGAAATATCTGTTCGGGATCAGCATGGAGGAGTTACAGTACACTTCCATAAAGCAACACCAACACCAATAACATGCTTGACTATCTACTTCAAAATGTATATGACATCAAAGCCGGAGAATATTTGCTATTCTTTGGCCTTAGCTATGAGCTAATCAGCTTTCCCAATTTAGCCATGGTGTATGGTAAATGAGGAAACAAATTGAAACCAGAAACAAGTTTGCTAAGGAAATGAGGTGCGTGGCATACAAAAAGAGGTTTCCTACAGTAAGAGTTGTAACTCGAAAAGCACATTTACACTTTTACAGGAGTTGCTATCTCATCTTGCTTATTATTTTAGTAAACTAAATCCACACAGCCAGACCGAAAATGCCAATTTAAACACATTCGCCAGGGCTCCCAAATTACAGCTTTCGTTTAACTAATGAGGCAACTACTCCACCCGGTCAACAAAATATGATGAAACAGTGCCCATTTATGGGGATAAAATTATTCAGGTGCTCAAAGCATCCGTCTGAGTCAAATGTTGTGTAAAAAATCTCGAGTCACCAGAGATTAGCATATGCAAATTAATTTCAAATTCAGCTACAGGCTAGCTAAAACACAAAATTCTTGATCCCAAATCTTCGAGTTCAGCAAAAGTTCTCAACTTATGTGTAACTAATCTGATCAATTGTATCGGATCCCAAACAAACATACCAGACAACTCAACAAAAGACCTTACCCAAAACATATAAACAACCACAAATACACCAGCAACAAGCAAGCAAATTCAACGCATGACAGATACAGTATAATGTCCACATTCATGATACAGTAAAAAATTCACAGTAATAAGGACCTGAGAATCTGGATGTCTTCAAGAGTGCGGGGAAGCTTAAGGAAGCTGTAATCTGAAGCGGGCAAGGTGAAATATACAGCACCAAGTCCCAAGAGGAAACCCAATACGACACCGCATGCAGCCATCACCTCCCAGAACTGAAACTTGGCCTTATCATTTACATTGGCGCCACCATTGGCCGCCTGAGCTGCTGCAACAGCTGTCCCCTTGCTTCCCACCATGATCTTTCAAATCACAGAGTACCACCAGTTTTTTTTTTTTAATTTTTAATCTTTTTTTTCCAGATATCGAATTTGTCGGTTCAATTCTACACCAAATTTGCAAAACAGAAGGGAAGGAAAAAAAAAAAAGAAGAAAAGAAGTATAAATAGATGATCAACTGTTCACGTCAATTTCTTTCGGTGAAGAAGTTTGTGTCCCTCTTTGTTCTTCTTTGCTTCAGAGACACTTCTCTTCCTCTTTGCGTTCCTCTCCTCTTTGTCCTTATGGAATTGGAGAAATTGGAGAGGAACGAGAGAGAGAGAGAGAGAAGAGTAAAGAAAGAATATTCGTTTGTTCTGTCACGTAATGTACAAAAAGGTCCATGAAAGGGTGCAGCATTTTTTTTTTACCTTTTCTGATGAAAAAAGATACAGTTTTGATCCCTTATATTTAAGTCAACAGAAAATTTAGTCCTTGCTGTTACTGCAATGGCAAATTGACAATCTATGGGAGAGGAGATCACTCCAAATACTTCCTAATTCCTATATTTTTCTAATTTAATATTATAAACATTTAAAATTATACACTAATTTTTTCCTATTATAAACAGGTCCTAAGTGATGAAGACTCCTTACCTGCACCTCCTACTCAAGTTTTCGCTACTCCAAACACTTGTTATTTGTTTCAATCAAAATGTTGTACACAACTCGTTATTTGACTACTCTGAAACTGTCTTGATCGTAATTTACTCTCTAATTAATTAATAAAAAAGTTGTGTGGCTCGCACTGAAAAAGTAAAATATAAATGAACAATGTAACGTATAATATATTCCACCTGTTATAGAAAGGAAGTTTTACTTGTTAAACTCTTCAAAAATCTCTACTCTCTCCCATGATTATTGTCCAGTTTGAGTTTTTATTTATAGTTTAAATTATACTAAAAGTGAAATCTCAAACTGGACAATAATTTTGAGACAGAGGGAATATTTAATTATTTAGATATTGAGAAAGTATACAACTTACCTTCAATCTCAAAAATTTAAAGCTAAGTACTGATTTTAAATTAAGTACTGAATTTTTAATAAAATTATTATCATGCAAATCCAATTACTTACAACATGTATTGTGTGGTGGTAAATTTTTTTCTTTTTTAAACTCAAAACATTGTGTTTTGAGATAAAAAAAAAAAGAAGAAAAGTGTTATTATATTTTATAATTAAAGAAATCCAACTACTTGATTACAACAATTTAAGGCTGAACTAATTAAAAACAATAGTAAAAACTAATTTCCTATCGAATGGGGCACCAAAGGTAGTTGGGAAAATTGACCTTGACCTTTTTGGAAAGGGTTGCACAAAATATGTGGTCCAGTTCCAGTATAGTATAGAGGAATTTTGTGGATAGAGGCATTGAATCCGTCGCGAGTTATTTTACACTTCGACGCTCGAACGTTAGTTAGTGGCTCAGTGCTGCCAAGACGGAGATTTCAACGTAGTGGTAGGATTTTTGGCCGGTGTGTGACTGTGTGCATTTTCTGATTTCTGAAAAAATTGTGAAGAAGGAGACAACCCTCAATTTCAACACCGAATGATTCACTACTGCAGAAGAATACATATTCTTTGGTTTGTGTTTTCACGTGATGCGGTCATCCCTTTGTATTGGGGCTCGTGCTCTGTCGAATGAAAATGGAAAACGGTTTTTGTCCTTTTGTTCTATGTTGTTTTTCTCTCTTTCGCTCTTTTTTTTTTTTCTTTTCTTTTTGTTGATTTATTGTTTGAAAATGATGATTAGGAATAAGTATACAGGTGTGATGTTATATTGTCATGCCACGTACGAAGGAAAATTTTAAAAGAGGCTATCGAATCTCTAAGCATGTGTTATTGCGAAACTAATGCCATCATTAATTGTAGAGATGCTCTTACGCCATTAATTACAACAAATTTAGACAGATTCCAGTAGGAGTTGTCTTGAGATATTCTGCCCAAAAAAGTCTTGAGTTTGAGATTAAGTTTTAATAATGAACATCTTTATTTTGAACCAAAAATATCGCTCAAAACTTGTTTAGAATGGTTCATTCTTCTGTTGTGGTTTGCTTATAATGAGTGTGAGTTTGCCGAACTCTAGTGAAGGAGCATAATCATTAGAGGGGGTTAGTATCATTTAACACCCCCCAAAAAAATTAAAAAATTACATTTCTAATTCGATTAGAAGGTTAAAAATATGCGGAAAATGTGTAAAACGGACAAGATCAGTATAATGTGTGATTGTTTCTTAAAATTAGCGGACCAAAAGTGTCTTAACAATATACCATATGTGCCTTTCACAATGTAATGATGTTAAATAAGATTAAAGGTACATTGTGGAAATAGACTCAGAGAATTGTTCTTCTCTCAACATAACAAAAAGGGATGAAGTTGTTTTTTTTTTTGGAAAAAGGGGATGAAGTTGTTGAATAGGAGTATAGGACTACTACTTTACAAAAAGTGCTCTTTCACGTGAATAGATTTTGGAAGATTAAAAATTACTTTAGTTTTAATTAATTTATACATTAATCACCTGTGTGGACGGCGGGTTTCTTTTTTCTTATTTTTTCTCTTCTTCTTCTTCTTTGTTTTTTAATGTCCCTCCTTTTTTGTGCTTACAATTTTTTTTTTTTATTTCCAGTTGATTTTGATGTCATCTTCTAAGCCTGGAGAAAAAGCGTTTTTTTTCCGGTCTTCAAGATCTTTTTTGTGTGATTTCAGAAATTAATTTTTCACTGTTCCACAATAATGTGATTTCCAGCTCGTTTTCATGCACCTCAATTTTATATTTTAATTGCAGTCAAATTGACATTCAAGTAATTTTTGAGACCTGGCCAAGTGATTTATTTAATGCTTTTGTATTAACAAATTTGTAATAATTTTACGAAAAGTACTGATATAATTAGTGAAAATTATAATGACGACACAAGAACTAGTGATTGTTGAAAAACGTTAGAATTAAGAGGTGAGAAATTTATACAGTACTAATCTTTTACTTATCATGCGTTGCGCGACCAGTGCATATATGAATTCTTTTACTCCGATCTTTTTGTTTTGTGTTTTTGTACTTCATGTTTGGTTGAGTTTTTCTCGTTATACTTAAGAGTGCAAATGAATATAAATTTATCTGCCCTTATAATAATTTTATGACGCATTGATATTGAACATCTCTTTTTGCCATCTTGCAAGAAAGAATCATACATACATTATTTTAATTTAACTGGCACTTTGCAAAATGCAGATACCAAATTTAGAAAAAGTTATTTTCCCATGCCTAACCTCTAACCTCACATTTTTTTTTCTTAATTAATTAAGATTGAAGAAACATGTGATCTGAGATATTAATTAAATTGAATTTTGTCATTGCAGATAAAACGCTTTCCAGCATCTCCAAATGAAATTCTTGCATTTTACTTTAATGAAAAAAGCCCTAATATCCGAGTACACAAAATAGAATACCAATCACTAAAACCTCAAAAAACAAAAGCTACAAAAGCATTTAGCCTCAAAAAGTCAACAATTAACTGCCGTATAAAACCTGTTAGGAGGGGGAGAATCCAGAAAACAGTGCAAAAACTTCTATCCCAAAATCTCAACAAAAAAAAGTATTTATAATCAATTAAAAATGCTAGCTACAAACACAAACTTGTCTAGAGTAGATCAGCGACATTTGATGGTAGCTCTTCTACTACCATATTGTAGAACTTTTGAATGTCATACAACATCCTTTCGTCCTCCTTGGTAACAAAGTTAATGGCCTCTCCTTTCCTCCCAAACCATCCACTACGACTAATGCGATGAAGGTAATTCTCAGGCTGAGTAGGGAGATCATAGTTTATGACAAGGGAAACCTATTGGACATCGATCCCTCGCGCCAACAGTTTCGTGGTAATCAGCAGCCGGGATGATCCAGAGCGGAACTCGCTCATTATGATAACCCTCGTGTTATGATCCATGTCACCGTGTGTGGCAGAAACTGTATGATCCTGGCCTCGCAACTTGTCAGTGAAGCAAACGACTTTGCGTTGTGTGTTCACAAAGATGACACTTTGAGTGATGGCTAAGGTCTCATACAGGTTGCAGAGTGTTTCGAGCTTCCAATCTTCCTTGTCAGGATTCACATAGAATTGCTTTATACCTTCTAAAGTAAGCTCATTGTGGTTCACCAGAATCCTAACAGATTTGTTCATAAATTTCCTGGTAATCTCAATGCTTCAGGTGGCATTGTTGCAGAGAAAACTCCAACCTGGACCTTTGTTGGAAGAAGCTGGAAGATATTATAGATCTGGTGCAACAACAGGGAAAAACAGAATGCGAATATTAGAACTATTCCAGTATACCTTGGATGATCATTCTCCTGATTTAGTCAATTTCAATATATAAAGGTTACAGAGACGCGATAATTGATTCATAAAGAATAGAAGCAGAAAATTAGAGAACTCAAAATGAAGAAACGGGGTATTTAAGATCGTAAGATGAACATTACAATAGATTAGATTCACATGGCCCTTTATTTAAATCTTTTAGCATTCACCAAATTATATCTTCGTTGAGGAGCAAAAAACACTTTCCTTGGTTTAGTACAAGATTGTTTCCATGCATTTACAAAGGGCTGGGAAAATTGAAACCCAAAAGATTATACATGATCTAAAGCACAATTAAAGATTAAAAACACAAGTTCTAACATCCAATCAATAAGATCACACCGTAAAAAAATAAAAAATAAAAAAAAATAAAAGAGAGAGAGAACCACTAAAAGAGGAAGAATCCTCCCAAACTTCACCAATAATTTCATCTGTTCTTCCCAAAAATGATTACAGGTTTGCAAGAAAATAGGTCATTTTTTATAAAGTATATAACGATACAAGAACTTGCTTATGAATCAAACAGAAGGCCACGCCCAATTGTTCATTTTAGTCTCAAATGGGGGCAAAACATCATTCCTAAGGATCCCTAAATCAACTTCTACACATATAGAAGATTTAGGAAAATTCTCTTTTGTTTAAAACAGGGCAACAGCTTTCTTTAAAACACAATCATGCAACGTTTAAATGGAAGATATTTTTGAAATAACATGCTCTAAGGAAGGAGAAGTAGCAAGGATAATATAGAAAGACTGCAGAAGATTAAGTATTATTTAGTCATCAAAATTTGTAAAGTTTAATCGTGTTCAAGATTGTTCACTTTTTCCAGAAGATGCATATAAGTTAAATAGTCTCAGAAGTACCGGCATATAAAATAAAAGCATACAACCGCATAATTGAAATCATTCACCTGCGCAATAGAGTGAGCGGCGCAACTCAAAATTAGATGCTAATTTCCCCATAGCAATTGAAAATCGAAACAGGATAGCCAATAAGGGTGGCTAAAACAGTATGAGGTGCTACAAACAATTTAGAAAAATTAATCGTGGAATCAATAGTATAAAGGAAAAAAATCGAACCTTACTGCAAGGTTCTATATATTTTCCCTTTCAGCTTCGTGTTGTTTCTGCTGAGGCTTTTTCTCCTTTTCTCCTTCCTCTTGTGAAACCTAGAGTCAAAATCACTTTAAAAATAATCGAGACATTCAAAAGAAAAAAAAAATAAGACAGGCTCGAAAATTCAACAAAATAACATTACTCAACAAATTATGCAGTAAAAAGAGGAAACAGGCAAAGATGTAAAAGAATTATACATGAAGTCGTTCTTATTGAAAGAGATAGAGAGGGTTGATTTCATGATAGTGAGTATGCATAACAATCACAATAAAAGCACGAGCGCATGAAAACAAAAGAAAAAATACGGGAAGCTAAACGTAAACAATACGTAAACAATGTATAATAGAAGCTAAATGAAAAGGAGAACAGATCCAAAGCATGAGAAAGTTATCAGTCTGCAGTTGTTACACTTTTTGTTACACTTTTGTAACACATCCACTATAAGATGATTTAATTACACAAAAGAGACACAATGTGCTGAAAATTACAAAATAAAAAATTGAATTGTTACACTTTTTACCAAAATTAACCTTTGAATGTGTTACCGTAACAAAGTTTTAGCCCCAGAAAAATGAGTACCATTATTGATAAACCAAACTTGGATAAGTTCACTTTGCTTGACAACAAGACAAATTGAAAAATATATCATGACCAAAACCTCCAAAACAGCATAAAAGCCCCTTGAATCAAAAGGTCAAACATTTTAGGTTGACAGCTTTTTATGGAAGAAGTGAATGCTGACTTCTATGAAATATAAGCAAAGAAAAAGTAGAAAGAGAATTATAGAAAAAGCTATAAAATTAATTGCATGTTACTTATCAACGAAAAGATTACAAACACAAAATGAGAAGCAGGTGAGAGATTGCAATTTAAATGTGGTTGAAGAGCTAATGACAACTACAGTATGGAAAATAACAAACATGGGCACCACCAGCAAAGTTGAGACTATGGATAAGCAGGGAGAGCAACAGCAATACATAAAATCTGTGGATAAGTAAGGAGAGCAAACCTCGTTGATTGCCTTGGTGTATCTAATAATGATCTTACTTGGATGCAGGCCCATCCGAATGAGCTCCTCAGCATTTTGAAGAGATCAAAAGATACACATAGATTGGTTGCATCACCAATTTCCTGACGGCTAGACGTTCCCAACTAGAACCAAAATCTTAGCAGCAGGGTTCTGAACCTCAAGCTCATTGGCAATAGGAGCAGCATCATTTGTCACAAAATCTTCCATATGATTTATAACCATCTTATTCATACATGATCACATTGACAACTTCTATCGATGTCCTTTATTGGAAACTATGTAATATTTCAAAAAATAACTTATGGACCAACAATAGCTAGGCTCTCTATCACTCAGGATAAAGTGCATTGTAGTGAAAGAGAATAGCTACCACTCACGCCTAGAAAAGAGAGCTCCTTCCCATCCATCCCATCTATTCTTGAAGATAAATGACGCTTTGTCATCTGGAAAACACAGAAACATAGCAAAAATTACATGGTGGAAGCATATGACACATCACATTTATTTGTATCTTGTTTGCTAAACTCATATCTCTAGGGCAGGACTAAACAAAGATAACATACAAAATCCAGAAACTAAATTGACTATGAGCATTGTTAGAAACTCAGTCAAGAACGGATAACAGTAATTGAAAACCAGGCCAGACAGAAAGTCAAGGAGGTATGTAATTTTACATTAATTTCATCTTTATGTTAAGAATAATTTATTCTTACCAAACGCAGCCAGCTTAAGAAATTTTTAAAAAGCACCATGACAAAGAACTGATCCAACAAATTGTCAATAAAGAATTTATAAGAGGAAGATGATAGCTCACCTGGTTGACTTCCATTGCATAATATCTAATTACCTATCTGCTTAACAACCAAAACAATAAACAGAGCGTCTGATCACCGATCAAGCATCACCTTTTACCCAAAAGAAGGGAGAGGCAATGTGCAAGCAACGAGCAATTAGCAGGGCAGAAGCGAGCTAGCTGAATAAAATAAAACAATATTAGGCAAACTATATTTGATGCTATAAAACAATATTAAGTAAGAAACAGAGAGACTTCATAAAGACCAAATAACATTATTATAATGTATCTACTTAAAGGGCGCTGGCAGGCTTCCCTATAATCATACGAACACACAGAAAAAAGAAAAAAAAAATACATGAGGATGAAGCAATACTATAATTATTAGACTAATAAGGTCAAGCTTCTCAACTGCCTAATTTCTTTCTAATTTAAAGAATTTCTAGGTACAAAGATAACATCACTATGGTTATAATCAGATACCCCCAACAGAATCAGAACTGAATTATTACAAAATCAAAAGTGAAGTTCAAATTTTAGAGAAAGCTGCTTAGAGAAAAAAAAAATTAAACTCAACGAGGAAATTACGAAATTGAAAGGGGAAAAACCGGAAAGAGAGCATACAGCGGTTTCAACGAGTTTGTTGGAGTAGATTCCAGAATTGGAAGCCTTGACAAAGGAAACACCGGAAAGAGCCGGAACGGCGACCGATCCAGGACGTTGATTGAACGTTGTTGATCTCTCGCAATGCGAAGGCTCCATGGCGATCGCGGTGAGTCTGGAACTTCAACACATGACCATCGTAGAGTTCCAGAATTTAAGAAACCTCCCCCCGTTTTCTGTCAATTTTGACCCATCCTCAGGTTCGGTTGACAATGGATTGATTAGCATGTTTTGAAGCTGACTTCTGTACCATTCATAATCAATGAACGGGTTGCAATCTTGCCAATCCCGACTTCTGAGTTGATTGGAGTAGTAGTCATCACCTCCTATTGGCGCTATGGTGGGATGAGAAGGGGAAAAATCCGCTTGGATCTCCGTCTGAATTTTGGTAGCTACTTTTATTCAATTGACGGTGATGGATTAGGTTGGGGGAGGGGGCGGCAATCAAGATATATACAGGGCTAAAAATATTCAGGACTTTTTACTAAAATATTTCGGGGTTTTAAGGGAAAACAACAAAGAAGTTATTTTTGAATTTACAATTTTACCCCTAATTTTGAGGTGGAGTCAGAAGTTTAAAGCTTCCGGAATTTTTATATAAACCCCGCGAAACGACATCGTTTTGGGAGTGGGGGATTTTTTATTAAAAACTTCCGGTTTAAATTTAAAATTTAGTGAGGAACTGTATTTATGAAATTTCGATTTTGTCCTTAATAAGTCGCTGACGTCATATCAATTTCATCCGACGGACAAGATTGCTTTGAAGGTGGTCCTGAATATTTCTTGGGTATTTAATTTGTTGTTTACTGTGCCTTTATATTAAGTACTAGGCTTGTCTTTGTCGCGCGTTGCGCGACCAGTTTGTATTATATAATTATTATACTGCGTTTGTAACCAAAAAGTAATGCTACAGAGAAAGTATAAAAATAGTTTGTTTGATTGAATTCTATGTCAATATTTGAATTACAATTACTTAATCTTTTTATTATGAAATGTAGCTTGTTTTTTATCTTTGATTTTACTTTGTATTCTATTCGTTTCTTTAGTCGATAAGACTATTTGTATTCACCAAATCGGGAAGAAGTAAAAGGTAGTACTCGAGCTTTATGAATTTCTGTATTAGGAGCTCATAAATTAGGATCGGTTGGTACAAAAGAATCAAAGTAGTAGCCTTAGGAGGCGAAGAAGCCTTGTTTTCTCAAGTAAAGTGAGCTTGGAATGAATC